TGTCCTCACCTCCCCCGGTTGTCCTCACCTCCCCCGGTTGTCCTCACCTCCCCCGGTTGTCCTCACCTCCCCCGGTTGTCCTGGTCCCTCCCACCTCCGAATTGTAGTTGGAGTTGTGCGTTATCCCCAAGCACAAGTTTATGAGTAACGGTCATGAAGAGAATGAGATTGATGTGTCTCCACACGCGGCGTTGGGCCTAATTTCCATCGGTATTGCGGAGGCGTCTCGAATGCCGCATAATGCTTTATACTACGTTGTGTTACCAATTCTGTTGTACGATGCGACTCAGTTGGTGCATTGGCACAACTTCAAGAAAAATATAAAAACGGGACTTATGTTGGCGGTCAGCGGTATTGTGCTGCAGGTGTTCGTGCTGGGGGCTCTAATGCAGTGGTCGTTCAGCTCCAGCGCTACCAAAACCACTTCTCCAGAACGACTCCTGAACTTCTTCCATCCGTTACCAGACAGCAACCAACGAGTTTTGCCTGCCGTCCGAGATACCACTGATATAACGGAACTCTTCCTACCTCCAGGAGCCCTACCTCCCCTACCTTCTGGAGCCCTAACTCCCCTACCTTCTGGAGCCCTAACTCCCCTACCTTCTGGAGCCCTAACTCCCCTACCTTCTGGAGCCCTAATTCCCCTACCTTCTGGAGCCCTACTTCCAGGCGCCAGCGGAGTAAGTGGTCTCCAAGCCAGCGGAGTAAGCGGCGTTCCCCGCAGCGGAGACAGTGTGGAGATACATGGTTCCCCAGTCGCTTCCAGAAGAAAGCGAAATTTGGCGAGCCAGTTTCTAGACACCCCGATCATTTTCCCAGGTGGCATAGTGGACAGCTCAGCAGGAGGGGCAATAAAGTGGACCGGGAACTCCACTGATCAACTCAGGGGGTTTACCGGACACGGTGACTTGTGGTTCGCCGGCAGCGGCGACCATGTGGCGACTACCTACAGGCGGCCTGACGATGGCTCGGTTATGGTTCGTGGATTAGTACCGGAGGGTCCGACTTTGTCTATAACTCCCGGACTAGGCTTATCTCACGGTGAAAGCTTATCCGGGGATGTAGAGGCTCCCGGCGCCAATAGTCTCGGTATCCAGACTCCTGATGACCAGATTCCTGATGACCAGATTCCTGATGACCAGATTCCTGGCCTTGGTGAAGAAGACGATCTGGAAGGGGAAGAAACGGAGGCTATAGAAGACGAGGATGATGGGGAGCCTTCCTTTGCCTCAAGTTGCATGATAGCGGCTGCAGTAGGAGCAACAGACCCCATTGCGGTATTGGGTGTGCTGGAGGAGTTGGATGCTCCTGCACACTTGGTGTCTTTGTTTGATTGTGAATCTTTAATTAACGACGGTACTGCTATCTTCCTGTTTTCATTCTTCCGTTCTATGAGTCGAAATGGAGGAGTCAGTTGGGGTGACAGCGTTCGTGAATTCTTCCTACTACTATTGGGTGGTCCGTTAGTCGGATTAGTGTGTGCGGCGGTGTTGTATCGTTGTATTAAGCACTTCCGATTCCATCCGTTTGATGTGACGTTACTAGTTGTGGCTGTTTCTTACTTGGTTTTTTTCATTGCTGAGATTTACTTACACACGTCGGCGCCGTTGGCTATAGTTGTGTATGGATTATACTTCAAGGCATACGCCAAGGCTGCTTTTGAGGCGGATACCAGCAAGGTTCATCACACGTTCGTACGAGGGATGGCTACGGCTATGACGAGTCTGGTGTTTATAATTTCAGGAATCGCTTGTATGCGTATCACCTGGGATACTCTGACTGGGGCTCAGAACTTAGAGATACCCGACAGCTATCCAAAGTTCGTGGAAGACTTCGGTCCCACTCCAGACCCCAATGCAGATTACTGGTCGTCGTCGTCGTCGTCGGCAAGAGGGTCCGCACCTTTGCGACTTCTATCAGAAAAGAATCCTGCCATACGGGACTTATGGCATGTTGCCGTGTTCTACCTCTTCTGCAATATCGCTCGCGCATTAATGATCCTAGTCTTTTCGCCACTTATTAAGAAGGACTTAGGAAAATTCAGTTGGAAAGAAGCCGTGCTTCTATGGTGGGGCGGATTACGCGGTGGGGTCTGTCTCATTTTGGCACTCCTAATTGAGCAGGACGAAGACATATCCGAGAACCTAGCCAGCAAAGCTTCTCTCTATTGTGCTAGTGCTGTGGTATTGATTTTGATCATCAATGGCACTACATTTGAGTTCCTCTTCCGCTGGCTCCGTCCATATCGTGCTAATCCATTCAAGGAAATATACCTGCTGAAAGTACTCAAGTTCATTGATGAGGAATACCAGCATGAAGCCGACCTATTGCAGTCACATTGGCTTTATCAGAATACCAATATTCTGGAGTACTCGAACAAACTTGTACCCGTTTTGGGTGCTAGCGAAATGCATGACATGAAAGGTTTGTTAATCCCCGGTGTGCATGTGCGCAAAGTTATGGAGTCCTTCGACATGTCACAGCTCATTACCAACTCCACACTCTTCACAACTGCTCCATCCCGTCCAGGCTCACGTCCAGGCTCACGTCCAGGCTCACGTCCAGGCTCAACTCAACTCGAAAGTCCAGGACGTATTCTCGCCGGACCCGTCCCCTCAGCTGGCTCCACTCCTGCCAGTAAACAACTCAGCCTTGGAGATAACGCCCGAGCTTGGACCGCACCAGCCACTGCCGCTGATCTCGAGGCACCTGATGCCGGTGGAGAAGGACACGATACTGCCGCCAAAATTCAAAATCTCAAAAACATCAAGCACGATGTGAACGTTCTCAAGACTGTGGAGATCCTCTACGGCGACGACGCTCACAAACCCTCTCCCGCCACCAACGAAGAAGACGACGACGACGACGACTCAGACTCCGACGGACTCGGCATCAAGGCTGCCAGCGCAAAGAACCCTTCCACCCCAGTCAAAGACCCCCTTACCCGCTTTGGCTCTCTTGATGACTCCGTCCTCAACACATCCAGGTATAAACCCATCGACGGACATGTTACTGACGGTCGCGGTGGACGGCTTGGAGTAGACGTTCGCTCCCTGAGCAGACCCGCCAGCACCCACTTCAGTCCCGGCCCTCTCGGCTCTGGACCACTGGGCGCTGGCTCATTGGGTTCTGGCCCTCTCGGCTCCTACCCAACCTCACTGGGGTCGAGCTCATTGAGGTCTGGCAGACTAGGCCTAGGCACATTCGGATCAGGCCCACGGGGATCGGGCGCACTGCGCTCAGGACCTCAGGACGCGGGCAAGCTGAAAGATCCCGTTCGGACTTCCATGTCGCCGTTAAACCGGCTGGCCACGCGACCGGCATTGCCGTTGGGCGTGCTGCCGGAGTCCAGCGAAGACGAGGACGGCATCGTCCGCGGCGGTGGGCGGCCACAAGACATGAGTCAGCAAGAAAGTTTCTACGAGCTGGCGCAGACTGTGGAGGACAGCAAGCGCGTGCGGTGGAGTGAGGCGCAGCCGTCGATAGAGGTGGCGCGTGGAGCTCCGGATCCGGGAGTCCGCGGTTCGAATACTGCGTCGCGCAGTTCGGATGAGGGTTTCCCGATCCGGCACACGACGGGGCTGGATCCTGGTCGGCACTCGAGCGGGTTGGCAGCAGCCGAGACAGAGACGTCGCCGTCGATTACCGTACGGCGCGTAAGTACCGTAGGGAACTTCGGGACGGCGACGCAGCAAGGTCAATTAGGTGCTCAAGGGGGTGGTTTGTTGGGTGATCCTCAGAACGGTCCAAGTCCTACTGCGGAGTCGGCGTTGCCTCGGCGACAGCCATTGTATCGTACGGGCAGTTACGTGTACCGGATCCGGTCGGAGCCGTACAGTGCGCACTTGGACGCAGCGAATGTGGCTAGAATGGCGACGGAAAGTTCGCCAGGGTTGGAGGGGCCGGAAGGTGACTGGTCACCCCATTTCCTGAATGCGGATGTGCACATCCCACGAACCATGTCGGTGCCAGATCACGTGGGGACGAAGCCGTTATTCAAGAAGCCTGTAGCACCGGCCAAGGTACGCCGAAATACGCGTCCCCAGCCAGTGCGACCGTGGCATCGCGAGGGTGAGGTGGTAATGATGGTAGTGAACTCGATGAGGCATTTGTACAGGCGTATGTATGAGCAGAACTTCATTAGTGGGACTTGTTTCGTGGCCTTCATGAGCAACAACGATTCTGTGAATGACTTCGCTATATCACACGAAGAGGACAAAATAAAGCCCTGGTGCTACTTCGTGCAGCGACCGTCACCCCTGGACTTTGTTGTAGATCACGGAGCCGACAACCCGGACCACGGAATCGCTCCCCGCGCACGCCAGGTGTTCTGCGCCTGTGACTACCAAGTACGGAAAGAGCGTGACGAAAAGTTCAAAAAGCTCATGGAGGGTGTCACGCCATTTGACCTGGAATGGTTCCTCCTTCTCGGACGACTACGCGTGAGCAGCCGCTGGGACGTTTCGTTCCTGCGCCACCTTGGTCGCAAGTGCGCGTGTCAGAGTTCTACTACGCCCGCTCCCTCCGAGGCTGCCTCCGTCGCGCTCGACCTGACCCTCGGCGGCGCCGGCGGACTCAATGGCCTTTCGGCTGCCACCTTCGGCGCCCCTCCCTCCGGCATGACGTCGGCTGGAGTGGGCTCAAACAACCCGGGATCGCCTGCGGGCAGCGGTGGTTTGGGGATAGGCAGCGGCGGCGGTTCAACACAGGGCGTGGCCGAGGAGACCGGCGGATGGAAGCTAGCATGGCAACGGTTCCTGGTGTGGATGTGGGCACTGCTGGGGCCGAGGCAAATCTTCCCGGCACTCGACGATCTACAGACTCTCTGTGCTTATGTGGATGTGCACGAAGAAATGCTCGTGCGTGGTGATCGCGGCCTACGCTTCATTCTGGGACCTAAACTGCTTGAGTCATACACACTACGCACCGCTCGTGGAAAGGTCGCTGTACGACACCTTGCACACTTCTACCCACAATCCTTCCCATTTGCACTTATCTGTCATGGTGCTGTCTTCCTCCTTAACCTCAAAATACAACTCGTTGAAGAATACCACGAACGAGGACTGCTCATGACCTCCGACTGCGAGACTATACTCAACGTGCTCAAAAGACAAATTGTCCGAGCAACCAAGTATCACCCCCAATACCTATTCACTTAGGTCTCACCATCTAAGTCTAAACACCAAGTGCCACTTGTGGCTAGCATGCCACCTGGCATCAGGAGCTACTGCCCCACCAAGAAGGGGGGGTGGGTAATAGAAATTGTAGAGTAGAGCTTGTAGAGTGAAGCTAGTGGTAGAGTAAAGCTAGTGGTAGAGTGAAGCTAGTGGCAGAATGAAGCCAGCGGCAGAATGAAGCTAGTGGTTTTGAATTAAACTGGGTGATTGACGATGCGTTGTGCACTATGCGCTGCGGGACTATGTGCATGAGGGCGTGTGTTCTACACAACACTGTGTGCACGCAGCACTGTGTGCACGCAGCACTGTGTGCAGATGGTCTGGTAAATCATAAGTACGGTTAGAGGTTGAGAAGGGTAAAATCGTCTTTGGTATCATGAAACTCTGAGATGTGTTTTTTGTATTTCGATCCGTCCGCCCAGGTGATAAGATCTTCCATTTGGCGTGTTACAAGCATGGCTGGATCTTTAACGACATCATTACCAATTTTGATATGACCATGTTGCACCAAATCGATTGCGTGTTGTGTGTGCTGAGCCATTTTTATTTTCTTTAAGATCCACGTAATACGTCGTCGACATAGATAGCTTACACCGAAATTCTCAACCACCTCCAATGAGCTTACATCATTAATGATGCCTAGTCTATATAATTTATCAAGAAGCGATTTTCCAATCTTTTGCCGCACTTCTGATTCTGATGGCAATGTTCGTAATATGGCCACAAGCTGTTGTATCTCCAATGCCACTTTGTTATATTGCCGATACTCCTTACTAGACCTTAAACCAAATTTGGATATAACTCGATTCATGTTGACATTATTGTCTTTGTAATCAAAAAGGTTAACCTTCTTCAACAACTTCTGCTCTACATAATTCAACTTCATTTCGGGGCAAAAATAAATACCGGAATTGGGCTTAAAGTAACCGGGGAGAGGGGAAGGAACGAAAAAATGACATTCCATGGTGACAACGAAACGATGCAGGTATAAAGCAGGGGTACAGCGGGAAGGGTACAATGGCGTAGATACCATCTAATCATCGAACCTGGAACCCAGGTCCAACCATTGGATCTGCGACCTCCTGTCGCAATCTACGCTCACAGATTGTGGTTTACAGATCGTCTTAATAGAATGTCAGGATACGGAGACCAAGCGCAAGTACCTCATATGACCCCCGGCAGAATGCCCACGAACGAAGAGGGAGCACAAATGTCCCATATGACACCCCAAAACATGAATGGAGATTCTCCCACAACGCATCATGGCAGGAGAGATATGCCTCA